ACCACAGAGTCACCGCAGTAGACGTTAGATGAGCACTGTCGCTTCGCGGCACTTGTTTGTGGTGAGCTACATTGTCATTGACACTTTCATTTGTGGTGAGCTCCAGTGTCATTGACACTTTTATTTTAAACACAAGCGATCTCAGTTTAATTAAATCTACAGTCCGACTTCCTTTATCCGGCCACGTCGGGACCGGCACCCATCCGGATATGGGATTTGGCCGGATATGAGAGTTATGCTCAAACACAGCATTTCTATGCAGTTCAGTAGGGTTTAAATGCATGTGATAATGTATTTTCTCGTTGCTATGATTATTTGTAACAATCTGTCGTGTTTTATGGTTTATATGAAATGGAAATAAAATGAAATAAAACAGAAATTTTACCAGAGGCATAGAGGACACGAGCGGACAACACACGTGCGCGCGCACACGCAAACACATATACGGTTGGTACATCGCACGAGTTTTGAGCGAGATTTTTAGGTGGAAATGAATGAAAAACAGAGAACATACACTGCGAGATCGCGGCCAGTTAATAGAGATTTCCGGATAACGGATGGCCGGATAAAGGAGGTCGAACTGTAGTTGTATCGGATGTTTGTAAATGTGTGTTTTTAAAAATCAATTAGGGATGTTATCATTTAAGTTTGATGAAGATTTATTGGTGTCTAAACACACCGAAAGTACGGCCATGATTCATGGAAGTGCACCGTTATAGCGTACTTAACTGTGGATCGATCTAAATATACATCACCCAAATCTACTTGTCTCTGAAGAAATCTTACAGAAAGCTCGTGTTTGTGCTGATAGGTGGCAGCACCTTCATAGAGTGATTATATGAAGCTCTGTAGCCTTCTGCTATCATAATCAGATTGCCAGAAATACAGTTATTACGCACACAAAAATCGAACAGCGGTGTAATATTACTGTTTACATAGTTCCACAAGAGAATATTTACAAGTTTAGTTACAGTGAGTTGCATTTATCTTGGGAATATCTTGTATGTGGTCTGTACCTTTCATTGTGTGAAAATGAGGTGCAAGTAACTTCCATAATTGCTGAACTAAGATGGGATTGATTCCTGTAAGTATGAATAAAGCATTCAGATAACCATATTTGATTCACATTCTCTAATTTACATTTTGCTATATATTTTTCAGATATATCTATCAGCTACAATTGAATGTAATTTGTGTGTGCTAATGCAATTTGCTGCTACATGAGTCAGGCCACAATAAAAAAAAATATTTGTTTGCCCTCACCCGACCCAGGCTGAAAAATTTGGGTAGGTAGGTAGGCTTTTTAGCTCATCTGACATAGTCAGATGCAGCTTGTAGAATCGCATGATCGTCCCTCCGAGTGTCCGAGCGTCCGATGCGTTCCCCTTCTCTTCTCTCATTCCCGCCCACCAACCCGTGTCACACTGTGGCACAAATCTTAACCGCCTCGACGTACGCTCACGACTCGGACGGTGGGGGTAACCGAAAACGAGTGCGAGCCCCTCGAACTGGGGTCAACAGTTCCCCAACAGGTCAAGAGTGCTAACCACAACCACGCCGGACACCTTCACTTTCCTTAACTTCAGGTAAGGAAGGAAATGCAGAAGCGCACAAATCTAAACGGGCTCGACCTAGGTTTGTGATATCGTGTATAGCGATCATGGAGGAAAAGCCACACTGGCCTGAAATTGGAGGTCTACAGGTCCAAAGCAATGTCACAAGGCAATTTAGCCATTTTCTGAGGACCCATGGCTGACGGAGCGAATGAAAACTTTTTGTTTCAGCGTACCATAGCAATTTTAATGCTTATTGAAAGACCATGATAAATATGCTTTCCACTACATCGAAGAGAAGGCAGATAACCACCCCTTTGACCTCAGAGGAGGTAAACTTGATTTGAACTGTAACAAAGGACTGAAACGCTTCGCAATAGACGCCCATACCCTTTTCAATGTGGACGCTACAGTTCACAGTTTAAATGCAAAGGCAAATGTTTGTTGAACAGGTTTACGCTCCTAAATCCATAATGATTCTTCTACAAGCAGCTGTCATAGCACGCCGTCCCCTGGCCTGAAGCTGAAGATAGTCGATGAATCTGCATGAGCAAAACACAGGCAGGCCCATGCTGGCACGCATTTCCTAATCATAATGTGCCTGCCAACCTGCAATGCACCTGTCACCACCTCACAGCTGAGCAAAGATAAATCCTGCGCTGAATATACTTACTTGATACTGTACCTAACTGTAATTCAAGGCAAACGAATGCCACTCTGATAGATGACCATCTGCACGCGCCATCGAGTGCACCTATAGCCAGTTTAAATTAGATTATCTCTAGTAACTTGTTAAATAATAAAATAATAACAGTACCATAACTAATATATAAATTACTTTCAACTTGAATCTTAACAGATCATTAGCTATGGCCTGCGATCCATTGTACCGACCTTTGTGCAACATAAGCCTTACCTATAGAAATATAGAGACCACTATAAGATGAATCTATGACTGTTACACTCAGGCATAGAAGAAACAGTATTGAGGGGCAGAAAAGGCATCATCGCGCATTTAATATTTTATATAATTAAGAGAGAGTAGAGAGAAACATCTAAGATAAAAGAGAAGTAGAGATATAAATTGAGACGGGACAGGACAACGGCTGATACGTGGGTAGCGAGCGCGATATAAGCGGGGGACAATTACCTCGTGCGAGAGTGCAAGGATGAGAGGGGAGCAAGGGGGTAGGCTCGAAGGCGGCGGGACGAAAGAGTAAGGCAGAGAAGGCAAGAGAGGATGCGAGGCAGCGGGAGAGGGGGACGCAGTGGGGAGAGTGGGAGAAAGGACTCCCCGCCCCCTCAATTAAACTTGGAGACATGCTCATATGTTGAAATCTTTATAATAGATAAAAATAGATAGCTGTGAACTATGACACAAATTGAAGTGAAAGCAAGATACATTTAAAAATAAACCAAAACGCATGGGAATATGAAGCCGGTCCAACAACTGATATATTATCGCAACTGCGTATCTGCAATCGCGCCTAACAACATGGTTCACGACGCACGACGAATTGCCGTTCATAACCGTAGCACAGACCGCCCAGATAGCCCAACGCTAGTGCGCGTGCTTTAATTTAGCCTCATCTGACATAAGCCGCGTTCACACTACAAGAATCCGGTATTAGCGCACCGAGCCAAACCGAGGCCGCAAGCAAATTGACGTAATCGAATACAACCGTACGTCATGTAAATACGTAGGCTTCCAGACCGCCGAATAAATTTCCGTGCTGAAAATACCTGGATTCTGGACCGAATTTCCTCTGGAACTAAAACCCCCGGATTCGAAGCCGGATTATAGACTGGTCTGCCGCCGACAGTCCAAGTTAACGCGAGGACCGCCGGACGCCGGACCGTCAACGATTTACGGCGCAAGTTGGTGCCATGCATGTTATGTTGCATGCACTTTGAATGTTTAACGTCAGCCACAACCGCAATACCGCGAGTTTCTGAGCCGCGACATCAGCGTGAACCTCGCGGTGCGCCGCGTATTTTGTCCTCAGATACGGTATCGTCGCAAAACCGATTCAGGAAACATACTAAGTCTCGTGTGAACGCAGGCGATATTCAGATGCAGCTTGTAGAACCGCATATTGTCCATCGTCCGGCGCCCGGCCGCAGCGTCGGGCGTACCGCCGTTCCGGCCATCCGCCGTGCGTCAACAGTGCACAAATCTCAAATGGACTCGACGTACGCTCACGCTATATCGGATGTGGGGGTACCGAAAACGAGATGATCGAAGTTGGGTCAACGCAAAGTCCAGAAGGCCTGAAAAGAAAGGACACATCCCTCCTTAACTTACAAAGTAGGAGAAACAGAATCGGCACAAACTAAACGGCCTCGACCCTAGCTCGTGATAGCGTGTATAGCACTCATGGCTAGGAAAAGCCATACTCCCGAAATGAGGTCAATGTCAAAGGTCATGGGCACAGCAATTAGACATTCTGGTACATGTCCTGAACAGATGCGATGAAAAACTTTTTATCAGCCGTGACCTAGCCAATTTGATGGTCGTTACATGAACCAGGACCCCATGAAATACTTCCGATACATAAGAGTCAGCGTTCGAAATCTTTTGACCCCCAGAGGAACCTGGGTAAACATGATTTTGTTTACTGTACCAAAGAATGACTCCGGTGCTATAGACGATCTAGACATGCCGATTATGAGCGCACAATCTCACAGGTGAAATCAACAGCTAAATCGGTTGAAACAGGTTTTATGCCTTACAATCGATTAATTCTATGCATCCTACTGCAGGTGTACATGCAACTTATGCCACTGCCAGGCCACGCCATCGCATGGTTGAGTACTGGTGTAGTTATTGCCTGCTCGTTAATGCTGTCTAGCAGGTGGCAGCAGTCTCATCAGCCTGTAAATAGGCTTGCGTAGGTAAACTGAGATGCTTACGCTATGCGTCTTGCAAGAGTGTGCTAACTCCACGTACGAATGAGACTTCCATCTTAAATCTCTAACAGACTAAACGCGTCTGCCAGCATCGTGCAACTATTCATAACGATCCCTCCCAACGAAATCCGTCGAGAAGGTCGCGATACATCCCTGTGCCTCCACTGTTCGGCACGATGGAACACATTTGGACTAACAGGTTTACGTAGAATCCGCACCATTTCCACCACAAGCACCCCCGCAGTAGAGGTGAGAAAGCGCTGTCGCCCGCGCACTTTGTTTTGAGGGCTACAAATCAGCATGTACATCCGGTGGCCTGTTGGAGATACTTTTTTATGTTAAGAGTTATTTTGCTTGGTACATATATATAGTAGTATTGCCGTACAGATTAAATATACAGCTGATGACAATTGTAAAAAACAATATAGAATATAACAGAATGTGAAAGATCAATAAACAAAAATGGGTCGGCCTCCTTTGGTGTCGGTCCGGTAGGGCAAAGCACCACACAATTTATATGGCCTCAAGTTCTACATACATGCACAACCAGTTAGCTCATATTCTGTCAAATGGAGGTTCCCTGTGTGGTATGGATATAAGAAAGGACAACACAAAGACATAATCTGATGTATATGCTATACGTGCTTCCTGCTATATTGAGAATGCTAGTGCATTGTACCAATGTCATCCAGCCTTGTCCAACTCCCGACCGCAGCGCCCTGTTGCAGAGTCCTCAACGGTCTAGTAGTGTCGCGTGTTTAAAAATGTCGGAGACAAACCTAGCTGCAATAGTGGCGTTCCGTGCAGTGAGCCTGCGTTTCAGAGCGAGCATTTTAACGCCATACGAGGAGTTATACGCGACAGACGAATACAGTCGTCAACATACTGATCGAAAGACAATTTGTTTTATACACAATCATGTATTATTGAAACGATCGAACGCCCCGGTGGACGCGTATTCATGTAGTTTGAAATCTGGAGGATAGAGACTGCGCGCAACTAGCTATAAAGGACTCCGATTGCATGTCCCTCCGTTTCAATAACCGCCGTATTGTCAGTCAGTGCGACTCCACTGAAGCTTCTATCACCGGACGAAACCACTCGCGTGCCGCCGTCCCGACGTGCCTGCATGCGATCATGCACCTCCGAACGAGCAATCATCAATATAGCTGCATCGAGTTTGGTCGGAGCGACCGCGGGTACAAAGCGGCGTGGAAGCAACCATGTTGCTAGCTAATAAGTATAAACATCTCTCTTCATTGAGTGTACATTAAGCCTCCGCTAGAATCCGCTTAGTCGTGAGCAGATGTCCACCCGTGTGAGTGACTAGGGCGAGCAAGTCCATGTGTATGGAGTGACATGCGTCAAGTTTCTCTCTGATGCATTTCTATCGACATTGCTTTAACTACAGACGGTAAGCGCAGCTGAGGGAGTAGCCCGTCAAACAGCGAGGCATTATGAGTATTCAAGGTAACGCAAATAGCTGGTGGGTAATAGTGGCCTGCCCATTGGTACAATTAGGAGTGCAGAAGGACAAGTAACCATCTGGGTGACCTACGACGAGCCTACCAATCAGGTCTCTCAACCTTAAGAAGCCAACTCACTACCTTCAAGCGCAAAGAAATTTACTACTTTTCCCTACTGGTGTGTGTACTCACGGAACTCCAAAAATGCTTCTATTGACGCAGTATCAGTTCGCATTCTGGATTATCAATGGTGTTTAATACTGTCTCAGGGAGATGGTAAAATAATCTCTCTATGTACTTATAAATCTAGCTCATAAATACAGCAACAAAAGTATTCCAGCGGGTACGTGTGAATCCATATTCAAGGTTTAGCAATCATGTCTGTATTCTTTCTTTTACAAGAATACTTCGTAATACTTCTACATGTAAATAATTTACTCGTTTTTCTGTGGCTTCAGTTGAAGGAAACCCTGCAAATATTTCACGTATGAAGGCTGCAAAAGATTAGTGATGGAAACACAAGATACGACCAATACACGAATAAGAAATTCTGCTGTATCAAATTTAAGTTTAACCAGTTTATTCACAACACAGGTTCTATCCATTAGCATCATAGGGTAGGCGGCATAATGAGCGGGCCGTCGTTATCGGATGTTAAACCGGCATGTAAAGTGCTGGCATTCATTGATTTGCTCTCCAATAACCTATAATAGGCAACCAACTATGCAAACGTGCAAACGGGTAGAAAATGATCCACACATGGGAGTCGCCTCCTCTCAAAAATGGAGTCCGCAGCCGCTCAGTCACTGACAAAATAATATCGATAATCCTTCTACTATCACACAGAATGAAATAAGCAAGCATGATATTCTCCAGATGTACTGACAATGTACTGCAGTGAACATCCAGAGTATTCACAAATGTACGACTACTGACGGAAATGCACTAATTTAGAAATTAAATTAATAACACGTCACTGCATCCGCAATGTCACAACATTATATTATACAAAGTAATAAATATATATATATAATTAATATAGTAAATAATTATATATAATAATATGATATAATAGTATGTATATTATAAAAATATATAATATAATACATTATAATATAATATTAAGTGTAGTGTGCAGCGCAGCCAAGCGGCCGCAGCGTGGTTTGCACATAGAGATGGACGAAAGCAATTACAGGAAACTGTGGCAATAATACGGTAGAAAGAGAGACAATAAACATGAGGATGTATAAATAGATTTCGATTTACTCTTAGCCATTATAGCCCTTATTGAAGCACGCTGTGCGCGTTTCCACCTTGTCCCTTTGTCCAGATGGTACATCACTGGGCGAGCATCATAGTAAAGTTTATTACAGTTACGCAAACAGCAAGTTTGGAATTTCTTCCTTCATCATCTACATCGAAACATGCTCAGCGTACAGTGGTCACGAGGGGTTAACATGATAAGCCAACAGGTTTGAATTGGCCGACAGTTGAAAATCCTGCCGACAGGTTTATGGATTTCAGCCGAAGGTGAAATATCAAAGCAAGGAGCAAAAATGCTCCAAAATACGGCTCAGATTGCACTGGTCAGGGAGCATCTAAACCCACTGAGCTTCCAGCAGCTGGACCCCGGCCATAAGGGACTTTGCGCTTCGTGCTTGTGATGTGCGCTCCATGCACATAACTGTCACATAAAATCTAAAGTACTCCTTTAAAGTTCCCAGATTTACATGTTTGAATTTTAGGTTGTGGACCACACTGTAAGATACTGTCCATACACAATAGTGACATCCTAGAATTTTAATGTTTTCTAAGATGTCACAATTGTGTAGTAACAGTAGTGACATCCTAGAATTAAATGTTACCTAGGATCTCACTACCGTGTAGCATGATGCTCTAGCATTAGACACGACTGCGTACGACAATGAGAGTGTCTTTCACAGCTGCACGACATATGAGTACTGCTGCGACACGCAGTGCTGTACAAGCGGCGTCTCCTTCTACTCGCTCTGGTACTTCTGGTTCTGCATGCTACTGATGATTCTCATCTGCACGGGCGGCGGCTACTGGTACAAGCGACGCTACTACACGCAACACTATCCGTCGTCGTTGGCCACCATTAGCATGTTCTCCGGTGGATCCATCCCGATCAGGCAGACGACAACAATATACTCCACGTCAGGTGCGTACACTGAAAGCTCGGCAAATGGGCTCGCGAAGTCGGGCACGCTGGTGGTCAATGGGGAAGATCCAGAGAGTTGTCCAGCGGGAAAGGGCCCCCACCTCTTTTACGACTGCAGGCATGATTTTTTCGTGGCAAAAATTTGTTTCGGTTGTAGTGTTGTAATGTAATCCAAAATGGAATATATATACAGATAGAATCCATTGAACTGCATCTGTTTTTCTCTTTTAAAATTTATGATTCACATTCAACGAACCCTCTCCATGCAGAATTCCTGAATGCACCCGTGGTCATCAAAATTACCTGATGCCTCGTTTGAGTTCTTCGTAGAGGGATTCTTCATGTGGAATGTTGTTTGTTACTGTAGTATACCTTTCTATTGGAATTTAGTGTGAAATGAAACTTGCGTTGTTCCGAAGTCTGCTTCATTGGGAATTCCCACGTTTACATGATTTGGTGTTGCACTTGCTGTCGAGATCGGTTCATTGGTTTTGAGTGTAGACTTTGATTTTATGAAATGAAGAATATGCTGCGGAAATGTTATCGTCAGTGTTTGATTTCAGCTGTTCACGATATCATAAAAATGGTAAAAATTTATATTAGATATATAGCATCACAGCAAAAATATATGGTTTGCATTTGGACATTTAGCATTGGGTCATTAGGCAGAGTTTGGTCATTTAGTGTTGGTTCATTAGGCAGAGTTAGGATATTTTTAAGAACATGAAGAAGCCAGTGCGTGGCTTTGTCGTCTTTTTGTGATCAATTGCTTCTATACTTTTACTGAAATTGCCGTGGCATTTTATATTTTGAATATGGTTCTATTGTTTATGATAGTGGGTAAACATCTCATTTTGAATGTTGAAGGGTAAATGTGAAAAAATTACTGCTGTGTGCGATTAGACAGAGTAAAAGTAGTGCTTATCTCTTCAGTTTCTCCATATATTTGTATACTTATTATACAAGGCAGTGAGCGACGTTGTGTCTAAAAGCATGTTATAAAATGATATTTATGATTTGCTGCTACATCTAGAATATGATTTATTATTGTTAAAGATGTACGCTTCAACTTCTCTAAGGATGGCTTCTTGCTTGTGTTCAGGTCCTACGAACCACACGATGATACACAACGGCCCCCGACATGCCAGCCAGCAGGGATGCACACTGTCACAACTGGCACAGCCTGCGTCACACCACACTATCTATCCCCCACCGATGACAAGCCAACCACCCATCTACATTCCTCAAGCCCCGCCATATTCCTATCCTGGGCAGGCCCCACCTAGCTATGAATCGTTGTATAAAAACCAGGGATTGCCAGCTGCTTGTCCATAGGTCAAGAAAAGCCTGGCAGGTAAAAATGGGTGCAGGCCAGAATTATTACGTAAAGTAGATTAAATATTGTAAAGACTAAAATTCCCTATTCTTACCCTTCTATCTTTCCTCCATTGTACAAAGCCCTTACCACACGTATTTGTTTTTCACCAGTGATCTTTCAATAAGAATATCTGCCACCAACCTGCCACAGTGCATCGTCAGATCTCAGAACTGCCAAAAATTCATATCAATTTGTGAATGCAAATTCAGGCATATTGTGTATATTGTAACAGTAACTTTATCAAGCAAATGAGAATGTATATATTTATTATATGGTAATATCTTTGAATGACACCAATTCCCAAATTACAATTATAATTAATACGGTCCTATAATATGACCCGTAGTTGTTTACTTGTAGTTATTTATGCTTCATAGTTGTCTTTTATCTCACTTTCTTGAATACCTGTATTTATGTATTGTAACACAAAAGCATATTGTCTCGACATTTTTGTGATATAGCTATAGCAAATACTCTGTGGTTATACAGCTTGATAAGCCTTCATAAAAATGCTATGGTAAATGCTAAACCATGGTAATAGCTATACATAACATCAGCAGTACTGTCACAACTTTGCTGCTATTGTGTAACCACCATGGATGCTGGCATTCTAATTTAGCTTTAATATTGAACGCCAGACCTGGAACCCCAGAACATGTATCCACATGGTATTTTTAGCAGGTAATCATTCCCTTGTTGAAGAGCTACATGATCATATTGTAGTTGAGGCCTATCTGTTGATGTTCACATAATCCATATTGATGGTCCATATTGATGTGCCACCATGATGGCTCAGCAAGAGCTTGTCGAAACTATAGTTAGGATTTGGAATTTGTCCTTACATTCCAAACATTGCCATCTTCAAATATGCACAACAGTAGCACGGCATGAGCACTGGTTGAGGCTCACTCATCATTGTAGTTGTTAGAAAGACATCTGCCATCGAGCAATTAAATCTCGTTCGTGACCCGATTCACAAAATGCGCGAAAAACGGCTCACGGTATATTCGAAATGTGCAATGTTTCAAAGTCAGTATTTTCTCGAGATTTAGTATTATTAAAGTGGCTTGTGTAATGTACACCCAACGATTGCAGTTACCTGCAGCATAGAGCATGCCAAACCTAGTAAATTAATTAACAGAATGGTATTTAATCGACTAAAATTTTAGTCAATAGCAATAGCTGTTTGTTAATGTTGAAAAAATAACTACTCATATAGTGCAGTTTTATAAATTGTTGAAACTCTCCGCCATGTCCACGATTGACGTGTTGTGTACTTTGGTACAATAGTTAAGTATTCATGTGTTGCATTTTCAATTCACCTAATAACATGTACTCAAGACTTATCAATGACAGAATATCAAATCGTTATATTATATATCATATCGTAGGTTAGAATTGAGAGCAGAGAACATAGATCAACCCAATTGAAAAAAAGATTAAATGCGATTTGACTGGATTTATTCATAAAATAAAGTTATCCATGAAGAATTGCAACCAGAATCTCTATTGTAGTATATTGTATGTATTCGAGAAGTTCGGAAAGTGCAATATTCTCATTACTGTCATATGAAAAGATTATATTGTTCCTCAATATTTGATATATGCTTTGGTTGGTTGGTACGAGCATGTAAAATAATGTCCTCAGATGAGAAACAATCCTGTATGTAAATGAATTCATTGTTATTTATGGTTAAAATATAAACGTTTAATAACTTCACCAGTGTTGTGTAATGAACGTTTTTCAGAGCATAGGTACGTTGTGGGTATGATACAGCAGGGGGTTAAAAAATAATTCTACGATAGTTTTAGGACTTCCCTGTTTTTCACAAAAATAGGAATTCTATTCATTTTATACTTAACACTTTTCATTACAGAACACAACCTATTAAGAAAATGTTATTATTAATTGATTTATTCAAACTTCAGCTTCTCATTACATAATTTTATTAAAGCAATTCCATAAACAAATAATGTATCCATCATTGATTATAACAAAAGATAGTGACTACAATTCATTACATACTACAATATATGATTATGTACGCAAGGTCACCATGCAAGGATTATTGGATTGCACATGTTATATATTACTTTTGTTTTTAACCAAGAACCACGTAAATTCTCCCTTGTGGTTCAGTGGTGTCATCTATTTATGAAACAAATTAAAGCTACTGAGTACTGGCCTCATTATACGTACAAATATATGTCTAGCAAAATGTATTGATTCAACTTTGCAAGTCTCGTCGGCATGACAAATGCCACTATCACAGTTTGGTGTACTATCATGAACTAATAAAGTATACTAGTTTCATAGTATATTATTCATAACAGAATACAGAAATTTGGCGTGAAATAAGAATAGTGTGATTACTTGGTTGATCAACAACCAGAACAGTGTGGTTAGGTGCTCTCGCACATTTCAACCTTACATAGTATGCCTAATATATAACCCCTATCACCACATTTCATGCTGTATTATCAAACTTTTTGTTACCTTACACACATGACTTAGAGATGACATGCCAACCTTCTAGTTATGACTGTGAACGAATTCAATACTTCTCACAGTTGGCAGAGGAGTACTGGGTACAGACGCTGTTACTCGTTTTCTCCTTGTAGCTCGCATCGCCGGTATCAAGACCTGTACCTACGAGGCATGAAATTAAGATCAAATTACTCCATTTCCTATCCTACGTCTAGATGTATCACGATCCTCTTCAAATGAATGCATGCCTATTCACGAAGTCTGATTTATGGATTAGCTACTCACAATACAATTGAAAATATCATTTATTCTAATGATGTATGATTACTTTCATTTGCTTCTGAAGTGAAAAATATGTTTTGCTATATAGCCAGCACAGAGTTAAAGTCTTCCTACTAGGTTTGATATCCGCAGACCAAAGATGTAATTCTGAGCAAACTTAATTACTGTATGGTACAATCAAGAAAACGATTAGTGTAAATTTGCTGCCTGCAAAAAGGACAAAGGAGGCAAACTTGGGCAACCATGCGACATCATTGGTCTGTAATAGCTATAGGTTTTCCAACTTACCCGTTATCAGGTTATGGAGATTGCAATAGTTAGTGCCAGAGTCGAGTACAGCATACCAGGTTTCTGATGTGGAAAAGCCCTGCAAATCAATACATGTCTAAAAATAATAGGTGCATCAAAATTAGGTACAAATTAAGCCTACTTTGTTGATACCTTATAATTCCATGTAGTTACGCTAAGTGATAGATTTATTACCGAATTAATTAAGAGACTGCCAGCAGAAGTGTGTGTGTGTGTGTGTGTGTGTGTGCGTGCGTGCGTGCGTGCGTGTGTGTGTTCCTGTCCTTGTAATCATGATTACAACTGAACGTAAGAAAGATATTCTATTATGGGGTAGGTAATGATACCTCTCAGAAACAAGTTTCATTAATGCTGAAATTATACTTGTCTATTGTTCCCCCCCCCCCACTCCGAGGTCGGAAGGGCCGCATGCGCGTTCCCAAAATCTACGGTAAAGGGGTATTTTTCGCGCGAC